GGGGAGAATGGGGAACCCTCTAGGCAGTTCCTGTTGGTGGGAATGTAAATTGGTGCAACCCTATGGAAAAATGTGGAGGTTCCTCAAAAAATTAAAAACAGTACTACACAGTCCAGTAGTTCCACTTCTGGGTGTTTTCTGAAGAAAACAAAAACACTAATTCAAAAAGATATATGTACTCCTATGTTCATTGCAGCATTATTTACAGTAGCCAAGATATAGAAACAACCTAAGTGTCTACAGATAGATGAATGAATAATGAAGAGGTGATATATAGCTATATACACAATGGAATATTACTCAACCATAAAAAAGAATGAAATTTTGTCATTTGTGACAACACAGATGGACCTAGAGGATATTATGCTAAGTGAAATAAGTCAAACAGAGAAAGAGAAGTACTGAATGATTTTACTTATATGTGGAATCTAAAAAAACAAAACAAACCAACAAAAAAAACAGAAGCAGACTTAACAGATAAAGAAAACAAACTGGTGATTGGAAGAGGGGTGGGAGGTTGGGGATAATAGGCAAGACAGATTAAGAGGTACCAACTTCCAGTTACAAAATAAATAAATCACGGAATGTGATGAACAGTATTGGGAACATAGTCAGTAATTTGTAATAGATTTATCTGGTAACAGACGGTTATTAGACTTATCATGGTGATCAATTTGTAATGTATGTACATGTTAAACTACTATGTTTTCTACTTGAAGCTGATATACTATTGTATGTCAACTATACTTCAATTTTTAGAAGTAGAGTAACAGGATTACATGGTGCAAGAACAAACGAACAAATAGAATAGAATTCAAAGGCAGACCCATATATAGGTAAACTTAATGTACATGAAAGTTATTAAAATGACTGAATAAAGAATAGACTGTTTAATAAATGGACCACACATGGAAATAAACACTAGATCCATATTTAACAACATATGTAGAAGCAGATGTCTAAAGAAATACTAAAGATAAACTAAAGAAATATTGTGAAAGGTAAAAGTATAAAACTTAATTAAACAGAGTATTTTATGACCTAGATACAGGGGTTTTTGTTTTTTTTTTAGAAAAACAAAACTTCCTAAGCATAAATAATTGGACAAAAATGTGATAAATTGGATTATATCAAAATGAAGGATTTTCATTCAACGAAGGACTCTATGAATAAAATTGACAGAGAGGTGATGGATCAGAGGTATGTATTTGCAATGGCTATAACCAAAAAGGATTCATATTTATAATATACACACCAACAAGGAAATGGTAGAAAACTCAAAGGAAAAATGAGCAAAGAAAATGAACACAGAGTGTCCAGCAACAGAAACCCAAAAGGCTGACAATATGGTTCACTCAGAAAATATTTATTTGGTGCTAACTATAAGACAGACACTATCCTATATTCTTGGTATATATATTTACCTGAACCAAAGAGCCCTGCTCTCAAGGGGCTTACATTATATTCTGGGGGCAGTGGAGGGATGACAGACAGACATTAAACAATGAGTTACTTGCAAATATGTTAGAAAAGATAAGTTCTTTGGAAAAAACTAAATAACAAGGTAAGAGGGAACAGGCGTAGGGGGCAAGGAGAAAGTCTGCAGCACCAAAAGGGCAGTGATGATAGTTAAATGAAGAATTGGAGGAGATGAGGAAGTGGCTAACTGAGAAAGCAGCATTCCAGGTAGAGAGGCATAGTTAGGAGAAAAGCCTGTGTTCATTGTAAATACTTTGGATTTAATTCTGAATAACTGCATGGTTGAAAGAGGAAGGACATGATTCGAGTTCTGTTTTAAAGGGATCACTGAGTGCTGGGATATAAGAATAGAAGCAGGGAATTTGATGCAGGCAATTGCAGTAACCCAAGTGAGAAGTCGGGGTGGCTCACGCTGGGGTGTAAGAGTGGAGATGCTGAGAAGTGATCATACTATGTATATATTTTGAAAATAGAGACAACAGGCTATTCTTGCCAATTTATGAGAGAAAGACTGGGAAATTTCCTAATCACTGCAATGATGGAGTTAGCACGAACTGAAGCGGGGAAGGCATGGACAGAGTGGTGCTGGGTGAAGGCAGACAAATCAGAAGTTCAGCATATGAAGACACTGTTCATATGTTCATACTGATTACTTATCAGAGTAACGCAAAGTAAGACAATTTTATATCTTTTAGGCTAGAAAAAATTCAAAACATGCAGGCTGTGGATGGATAAGAGCCGTCAGGCACTGACGTACGAGTGTAGACTTATAAAGCCATTCTGGAGAGCATTATCCATTACCTAGCAATTGGCTCCTGTGTATATTCCTTAAATAAATTCTCACAAGTCCTTAAGTGCACATGTATTATGATGTTCATCATCGGGCTATATGTGGTGGTAGGGAGCTGGGTACCATAGCTAAAATATGGTGAACACCATGCATTACTCTGAACAGTTAAAAGTAATAGACTAGCAATATGTATCATTCTTAAAAATATAGTGTTGAGTAAAAAAAAAAAAACTAAGATACAGTCTGAGTAGTTAATATATATTTTAAATACATAAATGTACTCTCAAACATCATTATATGCATTAAATATATCAGAATAGTTGAGGAATAAAGAATGGGATAAAACAGAATTAATTAATAAAAGAAGCCTTGTATGGGTGATAATATTTCATCTACTGAGGAGTATTATGAACCAATTAACTCTGAGCCTGAGATTTTTTAAAGCCTATTTACTATTATATTAAATTCCAACATGCGTTATCTTTATATATTTCATAAGAGGCAACCTCTAGAATAGTAAAGAAAATTTCAATTAATAAATCAATCAGCAGGAATTTATTAGCATTGTTAAGGCACTGGGAACACAAATAAGATAAAATGCATAGTCCTTGCTCTCAAGAAGCTTATAGTCTAACTGATGAATATAATACTTTGCCCTTTCCAAGGTAGAAACTTGAATTTTCTCCTTTTAAAACTGGGAGATCAAAACATCTCTACTCTTTTGAGATTTTACTCAGAAATCTGAGCCCAGTTATTCATGATGGTAATTGATAGGATTCAGAATTTCCAATGAAAGGATTTATTACTAAATTTATTAGTGCTTATTAGTAAATTATTAATACATTGGATAAGTCTCAGATTTCACATACAAAAAAGTACAGGTCTACAATTATTTTTTCCATGAATGTCTATGACTTGTAAAAAAAATAAATTTTCCTTTTTAGAGATTTAGCTGTTTTCTTCCAACCCTTGTTAGACAAGCAGTGTGCCATGAGAGCAGTGAGAGGAAGGAGTCAAAATGCAGATGAAGAAGCAGGCAGCAGCTGGACCAAGTTAGGTCCTGTACTTGTGGAGTCTGGATTTTATTCTAAGCAGGAAAAGGATGTGACTTGATTTATTTTCTAAGATAGAGGAGACTTCTACAGATCAAATGGCCCAGGTCACTCAAATAAATTGCAGGAAAAAGAAAGAGTTGGAGGGGACCTATAGATTAATGAGATTTCAAAGCATATCAAATTGAAAAAAATGGGCAAAACTAAACTACAGTGACAGTGACTAGGGATGTTTGCTTGAATAATATAGCCATAAAGAAATGCAAGACAGTGATTACTACAGAGGTCACGAGAGCAGTTACTTTTGGGAAAAAGTTGTGATTATGATGGGGCACATGAAGTGACTGCTACAGTAGCTGGCAGAACTGTTTTTTGTTTTGTTTTGTTTTGTTTTTACTTGAGTGGTGGTCACAAGAGGGTTTGTCTTACAATAATTCACTAAGCTACACATTTATTTAGTGTGGTGTTCTGCCTGTGTTTTAGTTTACAAAATAAAGTCAAAAAACAATAATTTTAAAAATTAAAGCTGTTGTGTGCAGAATAGAATGTAGAAAGCAGAGGTGGAAACAGAGAGACCAGTTGATCACATATTTTGTTGACAAGCTAATGGAATCTATAGCTGGGTAGGGTGTAAAATAAAGGAATCAAGAATTACTCTGATGTATGATGGTTCCTTTTACTAAAACAGTGAAGGTGTATTGGGGCAACAGGAAAGGAATAGCTTGGGATAGAGGAAGCAAGAACAACAGCTCTATTTTAACTATGTTAACAATGAGATTCATATAATGTAAGTGAAAGGAGTTAAGCAAGCATTGATACATGTGTTTGGAGATCATGAGAAAGGTCTTGTCTGGCTTGGAGCTAAAAAATACATAGATAGATAGATAAGACAGATAGAGACAGAAAAGTTGGATGGATGAATGGATAATGAATGGGTAGATGGATGGATGGAGAGATAATAAATTGGGTGGACAGATGCCGTGGTTCTGGGTAAGGTGGCTACCTGGAGCAGACACAGAACAGTGATCTACTAGAGCTACAGAACAAGGAAAACATCCACCGTGAGTCACTCTGTATAGAGAGAAGGCTGCATAATGTGTAGTGCTATAATTGTGTCCTACAAGCTATTTTTAAAAAATAGTTGAATACCTACTCTATGCCACCACTCTACTAGGCGTTTTACATAGATAATTTATAATCTTCAAAATAATCACACACACTGGATATTATTACTTCTTTTTATAGTTGAGGAAACTAGAGGTCAGAGATGTTAAGTATCTTTTTCAAAGCAACATTGCTGGTGATGGGTGGGGTCATGAAACAAAGTGTGGCTCTTCTCACCCTGAAAATTTTTACTGTTTATGTTTCATTTTCTGAGGAACTAGGCAGGAAGTATATGAAAGTAAAAGGGGGAATATGAAGTCTAGGAGGAGAGATTATCCAGCAGACTGCAGCTTAATAATTAAAGGTTTTTTTTTTTTTTTTTTACCGTTATGTATGACAGGGCAGTGATACATAGTCAAAATGTGGATGAATGTGGAAAGTCAGTCTAGAAAAACTTTTTCACCATGATCTACCTTATGAGAAAATCTGAGAAGAAAGGGCATGTCCATCATTTTCTCTTTGTTTAGAATGTCGTTCTATGGGCTGTTGGAGGGAAGGAGAAATTCTATGAATCTTTACCCTTTGTCACTAAGTTTCCCCAACACTCTTCTAGAGGTGCTCATCACTTCCTTGTTCTTCAAGCTGTAGATTAAGGGATTCAGCATTGGGGTCACCACAGCATAGAACAGGGTGACCATCTTCTCCTGTTCTGCTGAGGAGCCAGCCATGGGTCTCAAGTATGTGAAAATGGCTGTTCCAAAGCACATGGAAACCACAATGAGGTGAGAGGCACACGTCCCAAATGCTTTGTGGCGTCCCTGGGCAGAATGAAGACACAGAATCACAGCAACTATACGACCATAGGAGAACAGAACAAGAAAACAGGGGAAGCATGATCACCAGAAATCCTGAGATGGCCACCATGACCTTGTTGAAGGAGATGTCCACACAGGTCAGCCTCAGCACAGCCAACAACTCACAGGCAAAGTGACGAACAACCTTATGGCACAGAGGTAGCTGAAAGATGATTGTCTGCATCAGTGAATTCATGAAACCAGCCAGCAAGCAGCCAGCAGCCAGCCCCAGGCACAGCCCTCCGTGCATGATGACTGCGTGGTGCAGTGGGCGGCACACTGCCACACAGCGCTCATAAGCCATGGCTTCCAGCAGGAAGAGCTCTGGGCTGCTCATGGCCAAGGAGATAAACAGCTGGAGCACACAGCTGTAGAATGGGATAGACTTCTGGGCTGACAGGAAGTGAATGAGCATCTGGGGGACAGTGCTGTTGATATAACAGATGTCCACAAATGACAGGATACTGAGGAAAACGTACATGGGTGTGTTCAGCCTGCTGTCCAGTCTGATAAGGAGGATGATGAGGAAGTTCCCCAGCACAGTCATCAGATACATGGCCAGGAAAAGGACAAAGAGGGAGACCTGAGTCTCCCAGCAGCTGGACAGTCCCAGCAGAATGAACTCACTCATCCATGTCTGGTCTTCCCTGCCCATGAGCTTCTGAAGACCAAACCCAAGTCATAAATCAAAAAACTAGATACGTAAGGTGCCAGAGGACCTTATAAGGTCACTTGGACCAAACAGCCATCTAATATTAAGTGGTGTGGTTTTTCAGATTGTATGTCTCCTTCTGGGAAACAACAGAACCCACTGATGTGGCTCAGATCCAAGGAGAAGCTTCCTTAAGCAGAAATGTTTTCATTAAAATGCTTATTTGAGTTAAAAAGATTAACTGTAAAACATGATATTTTTTCTTTAAAGCCAACTCCTAACCATGGAGTTTGTTTACTTCCCTGTTAGACACCGGTTTTTCCCTCCTTACTATCTCAGAATCCATACTGAATGGAACCTAATAGGTATGAACAGGTTTTCTTTTTAATTTACTTTTTTTACTTCTGGATTCTTTGACTATGAAAATGAGATACTAAATTTCCACCCTTTTAAAATCACAAATTTGGGGTTGTAAGTTAGAAGGTAGCAAATATAAAATAGTTTTTAGTAGCTAAAAATTATCGAAAATTACATCTTAGAGTCAGCGAGATGAAAAATGAAGACCTGGGTGACCAGGCTCATTTTTGAAAAATCTTCACCTGTTTGTCTTTTACCTGGCTGACAGAATAAGAGGAAAGAATCTGCAATATTGCATTTCTCCTCCCTTGAAAGAGCAGCAGATCATGGGGTCGACAGCAGAGTATGGCTGTCAAGAAACAAATCAAAGATGCGTTAACTGTCTTCCTTAGTAAATGCTAAGAGCTCGAAGAGTTGCCACACGTGCTGGCCTATTAACTAAAAGGTAAGGGGAAACTGGTTGCACATTCCCTCTGATTCTATTTGTATGTATTCTGGATAGTGATTATTGTGATTTGGAGACCATATAATGTGATGGAAAAAATTAATTACAATTAACTCAGTGAAATGACTGTTGATGATTTCTTTCCTTTAACCGTCCTTACTTTTATCTTTATCTGAAATATTTGACTATCCCCTGCCCCTTAGAAAACTCTGTCTTTTCTCATCCTTGTGCTATGCTCCCTCTACTGTGACTCACATGACCAGAAGGTAATACTCTAGTCTGCTCAATACCATCCCCAAACTTTCTAATCCTGCTGATATATTAGTATTTCCGAAAGCTCAAGGGCTCTAGTATTCTTTCTGGAACTCTTAGTAATCTTATTTGTACCTTACTTGTCAAATCTCAAGTGATTTCCAAAAACCTCACGGACTGAACAAAGCCCACTCTAGATTTCCCACATACCCTGTCCCTCTAATTACTCTGTCCTTTAGGTCGAGAAAGTGAAACGCATGCACTGCTGTGACAAGGAGATATTATCTGTTTGCTGTCTGTGATCAGATAGTGCCATTGAATATATGATGAGAATCATATTTTGTGTTAAGGGCATTCATGACAGTAAGGGCAGCTAAATGCAGATAAACAGGGTGCCAAAGGTGACTGGATTAGCCAGCAGAGAAGGGTCTATTGGCATTTGCATTTGATAATCTTTTATCTAGAAATGAATTAAGCTTGATAAACCATTCCTACTCTGAGAGAGAATTTATGTAAATTACAAGAGGAGGCAATAAAAGTACAAAATGTTCCTTAATTCTTTAGAATTTACTCTAGAGCTTCAGATCAGCAAGCCACTTTGTAATATTTCTATCAAAGAAAGAGGAAACCTACCTTTTTATCCCCAATGAAAAGGGAAAAGTTGGAATATAAAATTATCACTGGTGAAGACCTCAGGTACAAGAGATACGTGACTTCAAAGGGGAAAATCAGTGCCTGAGACCTGTCAGCGGAACCTGACAGTGTACAGATGATACTTTAATAGCTAATATTCCTGGGAAGGTGCGTGAGGCAGTCTCTGATTCTGCTGTAATACACGAAACAATCCATGTAACACGGGCTCACCAGGAGAGGGCTAAAAGGAAAAAATACAGTGCAGGGGGACGCTGATGATTGTTTAAGGCATTCTCAGGTACCAAACAAGGAGACCTGACTGAAAAATCTGACGATAGTATCTTGTGGTTTTGAGTTTTCACTTCTTAAAAACTAATAGTAGTTAAGGGCTTGACAAAGAAAATGCAGTAATCCCTGGTCTTGGATCAGGAATTCCGCTTAAAGGCTCAGCAAGGTATTGTTTACAAATAGAAACACTCATGGTTCACATGACACGTTTCTGTACCATCTTCATGTTTTCTACAGTGCTTCTCCCCGGGAGTGAATGAACAACCTGCTTGGCCAATGAACTTGCATTTCCCAGTTCGACTGTCATTACTACAGCTGCTCCTCAGTATCCCTGGGATTGGTTTCAGGACTCCAGTGGATACCAAAATCCACAGATGCTCAAGTCCCTTATATAAAATGGCCTAGTATTTGCATATAACCTACACACATCCTCCTGTACACTTTAAATCATCTCTAGATTACTCATAATATCTAATTACAAAGTAAATGATAAGTAAATAGTTGCTAGCATTAAGCAAATTCAAGTTTTGCTTTTGTGAACTTTCTGGAAAATTTTTTAGTATTTTCAATCCATGGTCAGTGAATCCACAGATGTAGAACCTGTGGATCTGGAGGTCCAACTGTAGCTTCTTCACCTGTCTAAAGGGAGCACAAATTCAAGTCTGTCCCAATTCATTGGAGTGAGGGAAGTAGGGAGGATAATAGAAAAAGGATATGACATCAATAGGGAATAATTTTTTAACCAAAAGTAAAATGTTTAAAACACTTTTGAAAATATGGTATGTAAATAAAAGTTAAAAACAGATTTTCAAAAATAAGGTGGAAGTGTTGTAAGTGACAATAATAGTAAGATAAACAGCATTCCTGAACCACCTCTCCTTCCAAGAACTGTGATTCAAGCTTCCTAAAGTTCTACATCAGAAGTGTTCTCAAAAGAAGCCACCTGGAAAGCTTGAGATTTCCCAACAATGTTAACTGGCTAAGTTGCTATCCCCACCCCATTCCCACTTCCTAATGCATACCTACAACTACACTGCTTGGAGCAACAGAAAGTTTAGAGCCAGTCATCTAGATGAAGTTACCTTCTGACCATCACTGTTTAAGAATGAGCTGGTTAACACAAACCTGTTCTCAGGTCCAAATTTCCAGCAGTGGACAAGTGCTGGGGGGAGTGCAATGTGACACAGGGAACACGACCTCTAGTAAATAAGTTCAATGTTTCCCATGAATGCAGTAAAAGCCCCAGGCTAGGTGCTTCATTTCTCAGAGGTATTCGAGAGAAATTTCTCCCCAGTTTGGCTACCCAAATGTATTTTCTTAAAACCAATTGCAAAAATGGGACCTTAATCTCTGTAGTAACCAAACTCAACCCAAGTTTCACATGAGCCCAGAAAGAAGCTGTGTGTTAAGGAAATCCTTGCTTCTTGACTCATAATCCTAAGAACCCAATGGAGAGCCTCTGAGGAGCATGACTGCCTTACCTCCAGGAAAAGAGGTCAGCATTGCCCAGGAAGAGCAGGGCTGGGCAAGAAGTGGGATTTTATTTTCCCTCAGAGATAAAATCTCTACAGGCCGATTATGCTGTGCTTGTTAGGTTTCCATTGTTTTTTCACCTTCTCTGTATGGTGACTCTCTCACCTTAAACTCTCATCTGCTTTTAAAAGAATTTACAAGTGAGAATTCAGTTTTCCCTGAGCCAGAAACAGGAGAGAAGAGAATCTGAATCCCCAGTTCCCCTGGAGACATTCTCCTGTCTTTGTTGAAGTTTCACTTTGTTGAGGTAGTTAAAACTTGCCCATGACTTTCTGTCCATGTACTCATGATTGAGACTATCTGAGCCAAAGTGCCCAATTATTTATGGACCGTCAAGGGGATCTTTGGGCAATATCTCCTGTAACAAGGTTCTGAAATTGTACATAAGCTATGATCATACATTATCTACACAACTTATGCAACTTTTTCATGGGACATATCTCCATTTTGTCTCACTATTGGGAGGTTCCTTTTCACTGGGCATTGTCATTATGTATTTTTGTATCTAGATTTTTGCCCTCATTTTCTAAAAATACTACAAAAATTTACTACCCACTTAAAGGCATCTCAAATCTGATATCCATCCCACGGATGGACATTTAGGTGGTTTCTAATTTGTGGCTATTAAAAACAACACTGCTATGAACATTCACATAAACACACTCTCTCTCTCACACACACACACACACACACACACACACTCTTTTGTCCCAGACACGTACTGTACTCATTTCTGTTGCCTAGTAGTGGAACTGCTATATCACAGATTATGTGTGTCCCACTTTAGCTAGTATCACCAGTTCTGTCAAAACAGATGTTTCAATTATATTGCCACCAACTCTGTATGAGTATTCCTTTGCTCTAACCATTCTTTGTCCTTGGATTAAGTCTTTTTCATTTTAGCCATTCTGACGTGTACATAGTAGTATCTCACTGTGATTATATTTTACATTTCTATGATAACTAAGGAGGCTCTACATATTTTTAAGTATTTACTGACTATTTGGATATTCCACTTTCTGAGGTGTGTGTTCAATTTCTTGCCTATTTTCCTATTGGGTTATTTCTCTTTCTCTTTTTGATTTTAGTTCTTTATATATTTTGAATGTGAGTCACTTGTCATTTATATGTATCACAAATATTTTCTCCTACCTATTCATTCTCTAATGGTGTCTCTGATGAGGAGATGTTCTTAATTTTAATGTAGTTCTATTCATAATTGTTCTTCATATAGTTACTGCATTTTGAGTCTTGAGTGAGAAATCTTTGTCTCTCCCAAATCATGAAGTTATTCTTCAATGCCATCTTCTGGGAGTTTTAATGTTTTACTTTTCAAATCTAGATCAACAATATATCTGGAATTTATTTCTGTGCATGATATGACATAGGAACCTAGATTCATTTTTTTCTATGTGAATATCCACTTTTATTGAGAGACAATTCTTTCCTCACTATTCTCCTGTGTTACCACAAACCAAATTTTAATTTATATTAA